TAAATCCTTACACACAATGAAACTTTTAATTCATATGGAAACACTCAAGTTAGAATTGTACTTCTAAATGATAGCCTGAAAAAGCCCCTGGAAACTGCTCAGCCATGATTTTCATTGCAGCAACAAATGCAACCACCTGATTGAAGAATGAAAGGAAACTATACAGGTTGTGTTTTCAACATTTGAAGTATAATAATGAAAACTAATAGTTTTAAACTCATTTGAGATAGATAATTCTTTTTTAGCATACCTGTTTGCCCATCTGTGGAGATATTAGAGCATAACTTTTGAATCTTTGCACTGACTTGTAGAGCAAATGCTTGTTCCCACCAGTTGTGCCCATCACAAATGGCAAGCCAAGCTTGCAATAGAGCTCAGCATTAGCTGCATAATGCAAGAGTCTCATTTAAAAGGTAGAAAAAGGATAAAAATCTGCAATTTGCTTTCAGAAGTAAAAGCAAGAGTTCAAGGCTTTCAGCAACAATGAACTAAATTTGATAGCTTCCTAGATGTTCTCGTGAAATTTGACTGGCATAAAAAATGTATTTTTCTTATAATTGTTGTTATCCTGCCATGTAAGAACTGAAATGTAATCATTAGCAATGTTTTCAAGTCGTCCGATTAATCACGATTAATCGTCCCTAATCAGTCCTCGCTGACCGATTAGGGATACTGTCGACTTGTACAAGTCGTCCGATTAATCGCGATTAATCGTCCTAGTCGGTCCCATGGCGACTAGGTTCGATCGACGACTTGAAAACATTGATCATTAGCATAAAACTAACAAAAAATGTACAACAAAATTCCTGAATATACATTTTGATGTGAACATAGCAGCAAAAAAGATGTTATAACAGCATGTTTAGTAATTAGCACAAACTAGCAAGAAGACTTGGAATTTCTCAAAACTGCAATATCATGATTGCGTAGGGTAAAGTGATCATAACATGTACTAAGAACTTTATATAGCGCATTGAGAAAATAACAAGGTTAAACTGTTTACAGTTCACAGAATCAGGTGCTGTGTAGTCCACAACAATGACATCTGGGAATTCATCAGCGATAGATGAAAGAACATCTTCTCTTGCAGAAGGACCATATATCCGAATGTCTGTTTGTCCAACTTGTATTGCTTTTTCAACCTTCTCTCTACTACTGAATGAAACAGGGACTAAGTGAAGGCCCCTCAGAGCAGCAGCCTCAGCGACAGATAACCCCATTTTACCAGTGCAGCCATTCACCTAAATAATGGAACAAATGAAAAGACTAAGTAACAAAAGGATCAGGTCCCTTCAATTAAGCAAGATAGTCTGTTTGCCTTCTTTTTTCAAAATGTTCTCCTATTTCTTTTAATATATATAATAAGTAGGGGCCTGTCCACTCCTGTTTCCTCCAAAAAAAAGGAGACAGAAGAAATCTGAACAGCTATTCTACATCAAAATTGTACCCAACTGCTCAAATAAAAATTGGCATTTAGCATAGCATTATTCAATGTGAGACCTGGGAATCTTTGAAAAGTTCTGGTAATAAAACTGTTACCATATGAAGCAAGAACAGTGGATACTAGCTTCCAATGTAAAATATTAAACAAGTTGCCCACCTCATACAAATTGAAATTGGCATAGTTGATCAGGTATGCTTATGTATTTTCCTTTTCAACTCCTTTTCTTTATGATTGCATAAAATTCTTATACAGTTTTGATATTTCCAATGACCCAGAAAAGTTTCTATCAGCATAAGATATTGTTGAGCAGGATTTTCGTTGAGAAAAAGAAAATTCAGGAAGATTTGCATCTTTGCACTTGCTTTATGCAAATTATAGATGCAAGCACGATAGCCAAAGAAGCCACCTTTGCACCCAGGGAAGCCAGCTTCATATTTGACCAACTACTTATACTTTTACCCCGATATGCATCAACTAACCAGAAATCTAGCTTGTGTAGAGGACAGCACATGTATGTGCATTGTGGAACCAGGTTAAGCATATGGTGGTGTTCTTCCTCAGTTAAACTCTCCCAGGAAAGAGTAACATAAAATCTGAAAGCGAAGCTTGACTCATGATCAACCCCAAATAAAGAAAATGTACAGCCGTGAGCGCATTTGGTCAGGCATTAGGTTCTATGCAGAATCATCTTCCAAAGATTCTAGAGTGCAAAAGACGCATCTGAATCCAAATCTAAAATTATGTGAACCCTTTGATCCCCTCAAAAGGCAGTCCAAGCCACCGGCGAGGCCTAGGACAACAGGTAACCCCGCTGTGGCATTACATCGAACAAATAGGTGCTACGTGGAAACCATTGCGCAGAACAACAGAGCCAGTAATCTCCCCCTAAACAAACTGAGCCAGTAATCTCCATAGCAACGTTTCATCGAACAGGTTAGCAGCACACTGGAGGCGGCCAGCGGAATGCGTACCAGAATCGGGAAGGAGACGCTCTCCGGAGGCGCAGCTGACTCCAGAGCAGCCGCCGGTGCCGCGGCGCTAACATAGTGCGGCGCGGCGGCTCCGCCAAAACGTCCCCGTCTCCGGCCAACTCAAGGGGCGCGAGAAGGTGGTGCGGTGTGGCCGCAACGAGAGCATTTCTACTACAGCGGCGGATAGTTTCGAGTTTTCGACTTTCGACCACGGTGCGGCTTATAGAGAGTTGAGAGAAGGGTACCGGATAGGGACGAGCCAAGCTAGACGAACGGTTTATCTCCAGTCGAACCGGGCTGGATCCTACTAGCTCCTACTTTTGGCCTGTTTAGCAGGTCTAGGTCTCGTTCGGTTGGAGACTTGAGAGGATTCCACCCAAAAATCATTTCAGCTGATTAAATTAGGGGGAAAAAAATCGGTGCAAACTGTATCCACCGTACCTCTCTACATACATGCCATGAATGGTTGCCACGTGTCCAGTCAATACGATTCAACCGCGCATGGTGGAGGCGGAAAAGCAGCGAGCGCGGGAGGCAACCCGGCCGCATGTGAACATGCGAGGAAATCTTCTAGGCGTGCGGTTGGATCGTGTTGACCGGACACGTGGCAACTATCCATGGCATGTATGCAGGAGGCACGATGGATACGATTTGCACTAATTTTTTCCCTAAATTAGCCAAGCATTTTGGTAGGAATCGTTTCAAGGCACGGTTCCTCGAAACAAACAATGCCTTATCCGGCTCTGGCACTTTACCACGCTATACTGTGAAGCTGGTGCCCAAAAGTAAGATACGGAGTAAGAATTTTACTGACTTCTAATTTATTTTAGAAGAAAATAAAAATAATTTATTTTAGTTCATTTTAGAACAGATGAAAACAGCACATAGTTATAGTATAACTACAATATATGAAGAAATCAAAATTGAAGCTAGCAGGAGCTCCACCAAATGAGCCCCTAGTGTGGCTCTGCTCCTTTTGGTGAGACGGACTTGATCAGGTTTTGGCTTAAGCTACGATAGAACGGGAGAGCGAATCAAAGTATACTTTGCCTTACTAAATAAAATGGTCTAAAGCTAGATATGTGAGGGCAAGTTTGGTTTGACCTCACCAAGCAAGATTATGGAAGGGTGATGCTAATTCGGATATCTACCTAGAGCACCTTAGAGCTTGTGTTGGCTAGAATTTTTTTTCTTCCAAAGCTAGAGAGTGGAAATGGTCTGGCAACACAAGATTGTTAAAAGAATCAAACATGCCTCGTGTTTTAGATAACCGGCTAACTCACCTCGTAGTCTACGTTAGCAGGTTCTTCCCTTGCTTGGGTGGGGAACCGGTTCTTCTCTCCTAACTTGGCAAGGTTTGCCTCGCCTAAGCTAGTAAGGCAAGATAAATATTTGACAACCAAACATCCTCTAGGAGTAGGGATAAAAACAGACAAAAAGATTATGTCCTATCTCAGCTCCGTTTTCTATTTTGCCCCATCCGTTTTTATATTTGCAAGATCTCTTTTTCAGATGAACCCATATTTATCCCGTTTTCATCCTAGTTTTCATCCTATTCCCAATCTATGCGAAATATGCCTAACAATTATATGTTTTTGTGTTGTGTTAATGTACCTACTAATCACCAATTACGCATGCTAGTGTGGTGGGTAATTACCATAACCCTATAAATTCACCTTCACAAAATGGCTTTAGTGGCTTATGTCGACCGGTTGTAATTGCTTCACGGGATAGTCCAACGGGACCATGAGAGGTCCACTTTGTCTCCGCAAAACCGCATGGTCCGCTTCTCCCGCGGATCCTACCCCCGTCGAAGGAAGGTGGGTGTGATGTGTGGTTTAGTATTAGATCTGCTCTTGCTTCTATCCACCGAGAGGTGGAGGTTGAAAGGGTATAAATGAAAATTTGCCAGAAAAAAAACACGCAAATCTTTTAATCAGTTTTTGGTAAGAATGAGAATAATGGCATATAAGGGATAGAAAAAAAAGATACGATTGATAGTAAAGGGAACACTTAGAAATTCTTATAACATTGACGGAGTTTTGTACAAGTCAAACCCAGCCCTTTCGTCCTTCCAATGGCAAGATGGCAGGAAGTTGGGAGTTTGATTTTTTTGGAGGCGTGATGATGCTAGCTGAAAATGCCATTCTTGTCCCTCCGATTATTCCAGTGGCCGGGAAGTAGCGATGGACCATGCGTCCATGCGACCATGCCCATGCCCTGCAGGCTGCAGCCGACGGTTTCCAGTACTACACTTTATCTCAAAATCATATCCGTCCATCATCCGTGGGCCATGTCATGGTACACCGAGAGTTGTGAGATTCCCGTCCCTCGATCTCGATTTCCCAAAATAAAAGTCATCCAGTGCAGCAGCCAATACGGGCAGCCCACACAGAACGTTGACCAGGGGCGCCCCAACCCGCGGCGGAAAGCGACGCGCGCGAGATAAATGGCGGGGGAGCCGGCAGCAAAGGCCAACTCGCCTCTCAAAATCTTCGCTCCATCCGCCGCTCCGCATCCTACAGGCTCATCGGTCAACCCCAATCCTTCCTCTCTCCCGTCCCACGGCTCCCCCACCAGCAAGCATGATCTCCCCGCGCCCCGCGCTCTCCCCGCGCTTCCTCGCCTTCCGGCCCGGCTCCCCGGCCGCGTCGCCGCCGCCGTCCCCGCGCCTCCACGCGCCGCCGCCCCTCTCCGCCTCCTTCTCCTCCACCGTCGCCACCGCGGCGCCGGGCCACGCGGCGGCCAGCTCCTTCTACGACGTCCTCGACCTCCGCCCGGGGGCCAGCGCGCGGGAGATCAAGGCCGCGTACCGCCGCCTGGCGCTCGCCGTCCACCCGGACGCCGCCGCCCCGCAGCACCCCGCCGCCTCCTCCGCCGAGGACTTCATCCGCGTCCACGCGGCCTACTCCACTCTCTCCGACCCCGACAAGCGCGCCGACTACGACCGCCGCCGCCTCCTCTCCGCCGCCGCCGCCGTGGGACCGCGCACCGTCGCTCTCGGGCGCTCGCCCTCGTTCCCCGCGCACCGTTCCCGCCGGACCTGGGAGACCGACCAGTGCTGGTGACCATATGTGAAGAAAGATCTTCGACGTCTGCGGCTGGTGCGGCCCCGCAGTCCCCGTCGGGCCGCAGAATCTTGCGATTGGTTGGGAACGCGAAGATCCCCGCACCCGCAGCCACTGGACTCACTTGTGACCGAGCGATATGCTCCCTGAAAGCATAGCGCAGCCTTGCTGCACGCATCGCTGCGGCCTGTAAAAATGTTGAAATGTATGGTATGTGACGTCCTCTGTTTTGGATCCTGGATGTGTAGTAGTGTATGTATGACTTGCGCGGCCATGTGAGATTGTGATAGGATCGGTTAACTTAATACTCCGACATGATCGAGATAAGGCTGATGACCACAGCAATAATGCAGTCGAGCTATGAGAAGAAAGCGATTGGTCTGTCCCGTTGCATACTCTTCTTCTTGGGTGATGTACTGATCGTGGACGTGGTTAGAAGATAAGTAATATATGGCGGTGTCTTTGCATACTCTTCTTGCGTGGTGAATGCAGACGTCTCGCGCTGTTTCTGGTTTCTGAACATTTCAAGAGATAGAATTGCTTGTTTTCCATTGGGAAAAAAAGGTCTGCGTGACTGCGTCCATCTCCCAAGTCGAACCACGAGCAACATATTAATAATCGTATAAAAGTTCATCAAATCAATCTGATTGCTTTGCTTGTCACCATCACGCCATGTACTGTGAATTGTGCCGTTTCATGGTGCTGCGTGCATGATGTGTGCTGTTTGCTGGTGAAAAACTGGCCCAACGCCCTGGATTCTTTTATGGGAGAATTATTTACTTGGCATTGAAACAAATCAGTGTTACAGATTTGGCACTCGAAAATTTGAACTTTCTTATCTGGTATTAAGTTGAAATTTCCTTTCGTAAATGGCACTTTGCCGTCCATTTAGGACGATAACGGTGTCAAGTGGCGGTAAAAAGACATAAATACCCTTGTTTTGCGGCAGAAAATCCATGGTGCCAAATAGAGAAGTTCAAGTATTTTCAGTATGAACCATATTGCCGGAGCTCTTTGCGCAGCCCGTGCCATCGCCACTGGCGACCCGGCGATAGACCCGTACCAACGTCCCGCATCGCCGCCCTACCGATCGGGAAGGAGGCGGGACGATGGCGTGTCGCTGCTTCCCCACGGAGTGCCTAGCTCGCTTTGCCGCAACCTCGCTAGTGCTGCCGCTACCGGTCATCGCGGTCTTTGTGCTTACGCCGCCGCCGTCCGCTGGCGAGGTCTGCCGCACCACCACAGCGCCTCACACCATGCACCGGCGCCCATTGTCGTGGCCCTGCATGCGAAGCTCCCACATACCGCCAGCGCCGCGAGGTCCGCTCGTCTTGCTCCCGTCTGAGGTCTTCCCGCGCCGCCGCTGCCTCGCCGTGGCCGGCGCTCCGCCACTCGCCGATCGTCGTCGCTGGACTGTCGCGCCGCTTACCGCCATCCCCGGCGCCACTTGTAGCTTCGCTTTGCCGCGTGTTCGGTGTTGCCCTGTCGCGGCGTCGCGGCTTCGCCGCTTGTCGCGCCTCGGGGATGGCGGCGGTATGCGCATGGCGGCGTGGTGATCGCCGGTAGCACGCTACTGGTACACCACGTACAAGGCTCACTACAGGGAAGCCGAGTGCATGAGGGTGGAGATGGAGGAGCTCCTCGCGCCTCGGCGTCGACGTCGTCTTCACCACCATGTAAGCCTTGCCCTTGCGCCTCTACCGATGGTCTCGAGATGAAGAACGATTGAACACGGTGATCTGTGATCGATGTCCACCAGGTGCACGCGTACGAGCGGTCGAACTGGGTATTCAACTACACGCTGGACGCGTGCGGCCCCGTGTACATCTCGGTGGGCGACGGCGGCAACCGTGAGAAGATGGCAACGGCGCACGCAGACGACCCGGACCACTACCCGGACCCGCGCGTCGACGCCGGACCCCTTCATAGGCGGCCGCCTCTGCGCGACCAACTTCACGACGGGCCCCGCCGCGGGGCGCTTCTGCTGGGACCGCCAACCGGACTACAGCGCGTACAGGAAGAGCAACTTCGGGCACGGCGTGTTGGAGGTGAAGAACGACACGCACGCGCTCTGGCGGTGGCACCGCAACCAGGACCTCAATGCCGACGTCGCCGCCGACGAGGTCAACATCGTCAGGGAGCCCGACAAGTGCCTCGGGGATGGCGTGGGAGTCTTCTGTGTTTCGTATTTGGCGTGGGAGCACGACAAGTACACCGGACGAGAAGGCAGCGAGCGAGCTGCCGAGCCGCCGCCGGTCTCGCGTGCAAGGGCCGGGGGCGCTGCTGTCGCGCAGATGGTGGTCGGCCTCGCCCTCGGCTAGCCATGGCAACGGCGAGCGCGTGCGCCCGGAGCTCCGCTCCACCATGGCCGCGCAAAGGTGAGCATGGCCTACATGAGCACGCCTCGGAGCGCGCCGACACTGGCCCTAGCACGGGTACGTGGCTCGTCGAGCAAGGCTAAGGGCGGCCTCCCGTGGGGTGGCCTGCTCGCATCCCGTGGTGGTAGGAGAGTCGGGGCTGCTGCGTGGTGGTGAGCTCGGACACGCCGTGGAGGCCGGCGATGGACTGCGTCGCGGACCTCGTGGAGACCGGCGCCACCATCATCAGGCTGGGCTCGGCGTTCCATGCGGACATGAGCGGGCCCAACCTCACCATGTGGCCGATGCCGGATCCGGATGCCGGGGCGGAGCTGACGGAGTCGGACTTCCTGGCGAGCGTCACGCCAGTGACCGAGGCGCTGGTGTTCATTTCCATCTCCTCGGGGCCGCCGGGGCTGATGGGGACAGAGGTGTACCCGGGCCAGCGCCCGGACACGGAGTAGTGGACGAGCGAGCGGAGCGCGGAAGCACTGGCGGAGTTCTGGACAAGGTTGGAGGCGGCGGAGATGGAGACGGGCACGCCTCGGTCGAAATCGAGGACGAAGTACACCATATCCGCGGCGGTGTCGACGGAGACGAGCACGTCCTGGTCAAACTCGTGGGCAGCCTCGTACAGTGGCCCGGATCTGGGATTCTGGGGCTCGGTTTCGGTTAAATTTCAGTCTTACGTAAATGAGGGGGTACATTGGACAAAGGAGAAAAAGCGATACAACAACTAACAGATAAGCAATGAAAATGGACAGCAGTGCCAGTTAAGAAAGGAAATTTTAACTTCATGCCAGATAGAAAAGTTCAAATTTTTAAATACCAAATACGAAACACTGATTTATTTTGATGTCAAATAAATAATTCTCTCATCTTTTATACGAGCAGCAGTCGCTCGCACGGCGGCAAGGGCCAACCGGCCAAGGGCTAATCCGTCACAGTATTCTGCTGAAGCTGCGTCCGCAACTGCACAACATAGTAGGGCTGCTAATATGTAGTACTCCGTACTATATCATCTAGAAGTTCAGCGGTCACCATCTCACCTCATTTTCAGAAACTCACAAGGGGGACGATAGACCTTGATTTTGTGCTATAATAACCAGTGGGTCCGACAGAGGCGCCGAGTCTGCATCCAAACAAATCTGTGGATCCGATCCTAAATCAGCCAATATCGGATGCAAACGTTTCAACAAAATATGGACAAACAATTGGTTGATGTCCGGGCACATACTTTTCCACCCTTCTAGAATCTAAGACTTTAGATGTGTTTGACTCCTCGGTGGCCTGCTATCCATCATGGTCATGGATTCGTGGGCGGCAGGACCTACATGCTCTACTACTCTGCTTCGCTTCACGTCAAGGCCATGCTTTCTTGGCGCAAAGATCGATGTTTTCAAGCAGCGTTCTTTGTGTGGCCACTGCCCACTAACATTATTTTTCTTTCTACTATCCAATAGAAACTTCTTTCTTTGAGAGTAGCGGCGCCACTGAGAAAGTATACCCGTGCCCTAAAATGAAGAGGGGGGCAATGCCCGTAAGCCACTAGGGGGGGGGGGGGGGGGGGGGGGTTGGGGTGGGGCCCGTGGGGGGATGAAGCTCTAGACCAGATCTCCCTAGCTGGCTATTCCTCTCATTTTAAGCATGCAACCAAGCATCTATTCAATTGAAATTCCGAAGATGAGTAACAACAGAACAGGATAATGAACAGAGAGGCCAGTGTGGATGAGATATGAGTGTATACAGACAGTGAAACACAAGGTCCTTTGAAAATCCATGTAGGGAGGGGGCGGGGAGCGCAGGATGGCCCCTGGCCGGCCTTTGCGCCACTTCTTCTCTTACATCTCTAGAATTATTAGAATTTGTTTAATACATCTTATCTTATCAGACATGCTATTTCTAGTGTTTGTCTAGCCATTCAATTCATCAAAACGGCAAAACCAAACTTGGTCAACCATATAGCACATGATCCTTATAGTCTCGATGTCTCCATGTAATTTTTTTTATGAGAATAATATCATAAGACATATATCTATGTACGGTCCCAAAGAGAATTATATTGCTGAAAAATGAAACTAAAATAAGACACGTGTTGATATATCTTGGCAAAGAAATTTTATTATTGTTAGGAAAATTGAGGACCTTTGGTGTGGAGAGATCGAGTGGCTAGAAAAAATAGAGGTACCAATTATGCTAAGTTTTCTATATTTTTTATTATTGAGCTAAGGGTAAGTTAGTAAATTCATATTACAGGTATAATCGTTGACTGCGTGCGGCACGGCACCGACGAGCGCAAGCGCGGACGAGGGCCATGGCCCAGCGCGGCTGGGCTGCCATCAGGTCTCTGTGTGACGCATCAATGGAGGTGTGGAGCCAGAACGCTGCAGAGTGCCACCACTTGCTAGTGCGAGCCTCTGCTGGAATGCATCTGCTTCTCCATCGTGCGCAGTTCCTCTCCGGCCACGGTGCTGGCTGCCTGGAGTGCCTCTGCACTGCAAAATCCGATGTTGCTGCACTGTTGGGTGTTTAGATTGATCTCTAATTCCAAATTGGGCCCAACGGTTCAGTTGGGCCTTTGATTAGCGCCCTGATCGAGGGCGCCCAGCCCACTATGGCTGGACGACCCTTGTCACACTGCGC